AACCGTTTAGTGAAATCGCTATAAACCGAATCTTTCGAGAAGTGCCGAGAAAATCGCCGAGATTTTCATCACCGTGATTTCAAATTGTATTGGAAAAGTCGACCGAATTCAATATTTTGTTAATCTGATATTTAATTAATTATATTTGTTGAATTTGTAATTGTGCATATTAAAGAAAATTCCTTTGTTAACTTACAAAGAAACTGAGTTCTCTTTACTGTCGTGCATCATACCAGCCGTGCGCCGGTCTCTCACTCGAATCTTTTCGCGCGGTGCGCTCTCGCACACGGACTCTCACTACTTAAAATAATAACAATACCAATTTAAGATTAATAATAGTCGACATAGGACGAGATGCGTAATGTGAAATGACTTAACTCCAATAATTCCGTGATGTCTTCTTTATTCAACATGCCTTCTTTATTCACATATTAAATAAAGAAGACATCACGGAGTTAAATCATCATTCCACATTAAAATTAAGCAGCTCGTCCAGTGTCGATTCTTATTAGCCTTAAATTGATATTGTTATTAAATCTATATTAAAAAATATTACATTCTGTGGCACATAAGTGTGATCAGTAGCTCTTTGAAAGAAAACCGAATATATCATAAAAATAATAAAGTAATATTTTAAAAGTATATTACATTCAGTAAAATGTATTTACTTATTAATATGATTTTCATTATTATTAAGAAAATAACAATTATGTAGGAAGGATATGTAATAATTGATAGTTTACTACTTTCCGTGCACTGTATGTACCGCATTCGTAGAAGTGATCCGCAAGAACTCAGCGTGTCTCGGGTGTAAGATGCAAAATCAGAATGTTGAAGATCCTATGTTCGATCTTGCCTTTTCCTTTTTTTCATAATTTTTTTTTAATAAATAGCGTTATTAATAAACATATTACTCCAAATATATTTTTTATAAAATTATAGAAATTATATACGTATACTTCAATGTGCTCGAAATTTGCGCATTTCGGGCTGAAGTGCCTACATTTCTGAAGTGCCTACATTTCCTTCACAACCGCTCAACGCTTGATGACCGAACCGCTAGATCGCGCGCGGACATGCATCTTAAGAACGTCGCAGTATAAGGAACATGCGATCATACCTTCCATCAAATTATCATGAAAATATTTTTCTTCTTATATAATTGTTATTTTCTTAATAATGGTAATTGAACATCATATTAATAAGTAAATGCATTTTACTGAATGTAATGTACTTTTAAAATATTATTAGGTGTTGGAATTAATTCGTAGCGTTTTTTAATGAAAGAATGTTATTTATTTCACATGAGCATTAAAAAATACATTAATGAAAGTACTTCCCATCACTTGTAAAACGCTACGAATTAATTCCAACACCTAATACTTTATTATTTTTATGGTACATTCGGTTTCTTTCGAAGAGCTACTGATCGTACTTTTGTGCCACAGAATGTAATATAGAATTTTACTTTACCGTGTCATATATCTGGTCACCTTATTTATATTTTTTTTAGTGGATTGAACTTGGAGAATGCACTTAAATGACGTTTCAATAATAGAACGTCAAAGATAATAGAGAGTTTTTACAATAACGTGAATTCAGATACGGCGAACGCCTTTTCTTAATTAGTCGCTAAGAAGATACTGTGACCATGATATCGATTATGTATCTTTTTTCCTAGGAAAATCAAGGTTTCAAGGAAAGTTTTTCTTGAAAACGAAAAAGTGAAAATTTTTTGTATGTATGTGTATGTATGTATATGCATACGTATACTGTTTTGCGTGACGCTGTACGCGTAGAAAACAACGGCGTTATATGAGTCAATCAACTGTAACCAGTATGACCCACGTTCACAGTATCGTTGCCGCACAATAGTATTATCAATTTAGTGTAGTATAGTAATTATATATATATATATATATATATATATACATATATATATATATATTTATTACTAATTTATTCATATATATTTACTTGCTATATATTACTTGATATATATGTACTTGCATATATATCATATTGTAATTTTTTCAAACTGCATGCCGAATTATTTTTCCTATCAACGCAATTAAAACTACTCTAGTAATCGCGAATTAAATTGATAAGCAATTTTAATAATTTGATGCTACAGTCAAGCATCATATTATAAGGATGTTAATATATTGAAAAACTGTTAATAAAAAAATTTATTGCGAAAAATATTACCTCGGCCAGGATTTGAATCCAGATTTCTTGTATTCCGTACGAACGTCTTCTAAGTCATTAAACTACCAAGGCTCATACGTAAAATTGCTTTGTCAATTTAATTCGCAATTAGTAGAGTAGTTTTAATTGCGTTTACAGTCCGGAAAAACAATTCGGTACGCGCAGTTTGAAAAGACTATAATATGGTATATATGCAAGTATATATATATAGTATAAATTAATTCAAGGTTGAATTATTTAAAAGCAATGAAGATCCAGCTTCGACCGTAATAGGCATTTTAAATTTCAAGTATTGATTAAATTTATATTCCATAGCAATTTTTTAAGAATATAAAAACTTCAAACGATTATTACAGATATCTTTATTTAAATTTGACTCTTATTTGCTCTTCTATTTTCTTTATTTTTGTTAGTTTATAAGAGTTCTTTACTTTAATTGTATTTTTTAAATTAGTGACAATTAAAAATCAGTGATAATTAAAAAAAATTGATGAAAATTAATTGTTTAGCAAATAATTAAATTATGAATAGTAGCACTTTTTGCATATGGACATGTATACTATTTTACAATATATTCTATTTAAAAAACTTAAAACAAATAAATCTTTTCGGGATTACATTATTTGTAAAATTTGACAAATTTTTAAACATTTTTATAATAAATTACGCAATAAAAGTATTGTTATAATATATCGTAGTGACTGAACAACACCCGCGGACACATTTAATCTCAACTGAGCATAATGATTTTTTCCATGAAATATAATGATATTTACTACCTACTATAAAAGGTAATTCTTATAATATTATACTTTGAATGAATGTTTAAAGACATATATGTTAATCTCGTTTAATTATTTAACGACATCAATAAAATGTGTAGTGCTGTGCTTAATAAATTAATTCCAATTGACACTTAAAAGAAACAAAACTAATGATAAAAAACCTAATAATAAGTACTATTTAATGAAAAATCTATAATTATTTAAATATAAAAAATAATACGGCATTAGTGCCTGATCCACGTCTAATGGTTTTACCCAATTTATGTATAATTATATATAAAATTATATATACATAATTATGTATGAGCAATTTTTTTTACATTTTTCCAAACTTGTTTTTTTCTGAAACGAACAATGCGAAAATTATTTTTAATTATTTTTAATATTTTCACATTACTATTATTATTTCTATTACTAAAAGTTTCTATTACTAAAATTTTACAAAAGAAAAAGAGATGTATAAACATGTATGGGCATATTTCGTATATGATCATACATGTTTATGAATATTTATGGATGTTTATATATATTTATACGTATTCATGCATGAAATATTTTTTATCTAGTTGAGATCATCTTTATTATCATAATTATGATTTTTATTTATGCATTTATTAGAACATCTACGAATATTTCAAATTCGAAGCTAAACAAGAACATGTTATAACCGAATAGCAGTGACTTTCCATCACAGAAAGGCGCATCGCAAATATGCCTTCAAAGCTTCATCATAATAAAGTTTTCACAGTCAATAACAGTATAGATCAAAATAAAATAAAATTTTCATTATAACTTAAGATTGATCGAATATTTCAGTTTTTGTATTTATATTGATTGGATGGTTAGTTTGTGAGGAAATTATTATAAAGATAGTCATTTTTAAAGTTTACATTTTTTATCTAAAAAATTATTGATTTTCTCAAAAAAGTCTAAGAGAGAAAAAATGTTCATTTTGAACATTTCTTAAGCTATTAAGCTTATACAATTTTTATTCAAAGTTTAGATTTTTTAAACAAAAGTTCATAATTATTCAACGATCACCTAAAATATTTAAGTATATATAAATATTTTTTCGCAAAATAATATAGAAAATCAAAATAAATTATTTCCAATCACTAGAACGTTGATTGATCGATTAGTGAATTGAAAATGGGATTAAACCGCTTGCCTATTTATCTTTGAAGTATTATAGTATGAATTTTTGCCCAAGTAGCACACAGTGCTTACAAAGCGTTAAAAAAGTGCTAAACGCAAACATGTATAAGCGCTTTGCAGGCGCTGTTGTGCTATTTTTATTTTAAAAAAAATAAAAATAAAGTACGTTTAAACATGAGACTTTAACAAAATTATAAAAATAAAATTAATTGAGCGTTCGAGATAAAAAAGGTATAAAAAATACAATGACTAACAGGCAATTGAGAGCAATAATCAATGCAATTACTTGTGCGTAATAATTAACAAATGTATTATTCAAAACATTATATACAAATCGAAAGTATCAGACGTTTTGGTTCCGTTCGAATCATCATTTGCGATGGTAGATTCGTCATCATATCTTATGGTAGATTCGAAAATTAATTGTACTGAATAGGTTTCGATTAATCGTATCGAATAAGAATAAAGAGCAGCTGAGGAATATGTTCAATTCCATATTTAAGAAACATCCCTATTAATTAGTTACTTGGCTGAGTGAGCGTAGCTGCTAATTATGACCAACATGTCAAAAAGTAAATTATTTAACGACATGTTGATCATAAACAAAAATAGATTATTTTGAAAGAATGGATACGCTATAAAATTCGTTCAGAATATTAGTTAGCATCGAATAAGTCGATTAATTCTCTCAATTATTATTGCTCTTAATTGCCCGTTAGTCATTGTATTTTTTATGAGATTTTATAACTTATATACAAAAAATATGTCAGAATCCATTAATTACTATTATTAGATATTATTAAAATATACTTGAATATATTGAATATAGGGACAAATTCTTTTAATACTTACGTAACTTTAAATATTTCTCGTAATTGCTTCGTTCCAAGTGGATCTCTATCAGAAAAAAATTCTGGCATGTGAGTCCTGGAAGTGTAATATTCTTCGATGGTATTCTTAGCAGCCTCGATATGATAGTAGTTACTATGTAAGAATAATACATATTCAATATCTAAAATTTTTGGAAGATGCGGTTGTTTCATGCACCAATCCTTTAAGATTTGTATATCGGCATCTTTCAATTCAGGATTTTTCTTCTTTTCCTCATCGTAGGAAATTCTTTTGATTAATGACATAGTAGATGTACTTGTACAATCTCTTTTACTAATATAAAAAACATATATTTTACATTTAGTAAATCATCCAAATTATCTAAAATGTTGCCTCTTTTATAGCTATAATAATGTTATGCACTAAACGAATTTAATAAAAAAATTGAAATTACTAGTACCACATAACGGTTTAATATTAAAGATGTAATAGTGTCTTTAATGAATATTTAAGTTATTAATATTTAAGTCAAAAATTAAGTTAGAATGTTATAATAAATAGATGTTAAAATAACTGTGTTATAATAAAACAGAAAAAATTACTTTTTAAATACACTCAGATGAAAAAGAAGCTTGCTTGGCTGGCAATCGACTAAACAATCAGTTATTACTCACCGACTTTTCAAAGTACCACTACACGCAACTATACGGAAATTTCCACATTTATGACGTACGAAAATACATAGTACAGATATAATTTAACATATGATTACATTCACTACATACTGTAATCACAAATTAAATTCTTGACAGCTTGACGGAAATTATAGACTGATAACTCGTTATTATTGATACATTGAGACAAATATTTTTTTAACTTTATTACTCTGTATTCATGTTATATAATTTTACTATTATGTTTTACAGATATAAAGTTATGAACATGTATAAGATCGCAAATCGCAGTAATCAATATATCTAATAAGTTGTTTTTAATTATTACTGTAATACAATAGTATAGATAAACTACACTGATTCTAAATAACTATGTGTTAGTGCATATACGTATATGTGATATGTATGTGTGTGTACGTATGAAGCAGGGAAGAAGAAGTGCATCATAGATGTTGAGTCCGAGAGAGGGAGAAACGCGTTATCGGGGTGTTAAAGGGGAAAGGGAAGGTTTTGTGCCTTATCTCTTTCGTTTGTTACATTCTCTTTCTAATCCGTTGTGTTTTCTTTTTCCCACCGTTGTAGGATATGATTCTCTCTGTCCCATCCGTTGCGGTCCTGTATTTACACAGTATTCGCGCTCTTTCTTCGTCCCGTTGCGCTCTCTCCAACTCCCACGTTCTCTTTTCTTCTTTCGTATGCAATTTTATTAAATAGATATAATTGTCATAGAAGGGAGCAAAAACAAATTTTAGGATTGTGAAGGAAATTTAGGAAGAAATAAAGATTAGAATTATAATTTTTCATTATTCAATTTTTATTTCAATAATTTGATTAACTTATTTATAAGGAAAACTGCGTGCCTTCTTATAATATATAATTCTAAGCGCTAAATAAAAACAAGAGGAAAAAGGAGATTGAAAATAATTTTAAAAATTTAGTAATATATTTAAATATCGTATTATATATTTTGTTTTACAAACATTAATTCATTTCTTACTTTAAAAATGAAAATGTTTACAATTTGCAATGTAGGATAAGTTGTCTAACAATGAACCATGTAAATATCAGAGGCTTGTATCTTTTTCAATTATTGAGTTGAAGATCTGAGTTTTGACATACAGTTTATGAATTTAATTGGCTATATTCTGTAACTCTAAAGTATTTTTTAAGTTTAGCCACAATTTCGATTATTTTAAAAAACGAGAAGTGGTTCATTGTGTACAAGAAATGTGTACACAATGAACCATATTATTTTTAATAATGAACCACATTTTATTATTATTTTAGGAAAATATCGGAAAAAGAAATGTTATCAACAGCAATAAATTTAATGTTATTACACATTTATTGTTATTACACATAAATTTAATGTTATTACACATTTATTAATAAAAAATTGTTAAGGAAGACATTAAGACATTTCCAAAATTAATATTATATTGTCGCAATACGGTAACTTAGTGGAAATTTTTAAGCGATTAACAAGCGACGAAGGGTTTGATAAAAGTAATCTTTTGATGTATGTATTTAAATATTCACAACAGGTTCTATTGTTTAATTAAAACAATAATATCTTACTTAATATCTTCTTAATATCTTACTTAAGAACTTTTAGATTAATTGTTACACAGTTTTATACTACGAATTGTCGGGATTATTTTAGTTTTGCTATATTTTAAAATATTTATTTTTAGAAAATAGATAATTATGAGATGATAAGGATTCATGAGGCCGCGTTTTTCTGTCAGATTCCTTTCATTTTGAATAAAAATACGTAGAATGAGAATATTTTTATTAAGGTTTTAGATGGATGGGGGAGGGACCATATTCTAAATAATTACTACAATGAATAATTATTTTGAAGATCGTAAGAAAGATTATGTGGTCTACAATGAACACCATGGTTCATTATTCACTACATCAAAATGATTTATTGTAGACTACCTAATCCTGTTGAAAATTCTTGTAAGTTTTTTGTAGCAGATCTTAAAAGAGTTGTATGTGATCAATCAAGATTACTACATGAACATACATGATCATATAAGAATCTTATATAATTTGTTCATGAATCTCACTAGTAATCTTTAATGACCTTAGGAATCTGGAATAAATCGTACATGATGATTTACATCGCAATGAAAAGATCTTGCCTTATAAGAAACTCTTACAAACTAATTTCTTTACAAGATCATCTAAGAATATGGTATTAATTATGTATGATTTATTCTAAAGTGTTTCATGAAAGATTATTTATCAATCTTAAGAGACATATAGTTACAGAATAATTTATTTTCCTAAGTTAATACAAGAATCTGACACGAATCGTATACGATGATTTATATCGCAATGAAAAGATTTTAATTGCTAATTTTGCCTAATAAGATACTCTTAAGAAATAATTTCTTTACATGATCGCTCCAAAATAATAAAGACATTAATCATCCCAGTAAACGAAATGGAATTATTGAATAAATAGAAACTTGAATATATGAAATGAAAAAGAATTAAGAAAAATTAAAAAATTTGTTAGAATACTGAAGATGAATGTATAAAAAGTCGAAACGTAAATTATCACTGTCTTAATGATCTGATAAATTGTAATTTCGCCATAATAACTGGCATAGGCATTTCTTTTCCCAAATTAAGTTTGATTTAGTCAAGAAGCCGTTATTCAATTTGTGTCAAAAGAATTAATTTTTAGCCAAAATGAATTCTTTTAAAACCCACTCAACTCCTTGCTTGTTCCATTCCATTTTATTTGGGATATGAGCAATAAATTACACAAAATTCCAGTAGTATTCTTGTAATAGTTTCATAATGACACTCCAATTATATTCATGCAAGATTTACGTTACATACGCGCAAAATTCATGTAACCTGCGCAAGATTAACATACGTGTAAGAGTTATGTAACATGCTTATAAGATTCATGTAACATAATTGCAAGATTCTTGATTTATCTACAGGTATCGTATATTTTTATTCTTGTATGTTCCTGTCCGAAATTCGTATGTGAAAATTTTCTTGGAAGATCTCACAAGAACTTTTTAAAGAATTTGCAGCAAAGAATACTACTGGTTTACTATTGGTCTAGCTATTCTATACAATTTGATCAGAAGCGTACATTACTAATTTATACTCTATGATTGAAGTTTCATCATAAATTTCACGCAATTTTTTTAACGCATCACATTTATTATTGATAGAATTTTGACGTACAATATATAAGATTATATAAGATTCTTATATGATCATGTATGTTCATGTAGTAATCTTGATTGATCACATACAACTCTTTTAAGATCTGCTACAAAACTTACAAGAATTTTCAACAGGATTAGGTAATCTACAATAAATCATTTTGATGTAGTAAATAATGAACCATGGTGTTCATTGTAGTCATAAATTGTTGAAATTCTTCGCCAATTTTACATACATTCTGCATTATCCGGTGATTCATATGCTCAACGCAATGTTCGAAACAACACGGTTGAAGGCATCATGTCCAAGGCATAGGAAAGATTGGGGTTAGTAAATTCATTTTTCAGTTTCGAATTTTTACAGACGAAATTAAGAGACTCGAAAAAATAAATTCTATACCAGTTACTACATATATTCGACTATCTAATAATATTTTAATAAAATAATACATAGATTCACGAAGCATTAGGAGTCACCGCTGGTACTGTGTCATTTGAACGTCGAACTTGTGATACATGACAAATTCTTTGTCGACTAATATTTTAAACTTAATGTTTGACTATGATACAATATACAATTGGTTCTTTATATTCTTTGTATTATTAATGTGACGAACTATCGTTAAACACGGCTTAGTTCTATGAGAATTGAGATGGTCAATCCAATACCACTCGGCTATGCAATTGCAATGTCACAACATTGATTAATGTTGAGGATGGTCGCGTCTCATTACATAATTCAAGTAATTTGCATTTGGAAGGAAGAATATATGTATTTTGCGATTCACTTAACAAAGATACAATGTTTCGAGGCCAATAATTATATATATTAGGTGTAGTAAAAAGAAATTCATTATTTTTCCAATAGATGGCTTTAGTAATCTGTATCACGCGTAGACATACAGATTACTAAAGCTATCTATTGGAAAAATAATGGATTTCTTTTTACTACACCTAATATAAAATGGATCTAGATCTATTTCATGTATTGATCCTTTTCAAATATTTGAATATTTGCAAATTTCAAATTGGATCACAATCGACGATACCTAGACGATTATCCAATTCTGCTTGGCTTTACGCAAGATGTTCGACGAATATAAAATTGGTGGATCTTTATCCTCAAATCATAAGTCATAATCTTATTAGCCTCCTCAGTACGCCAAATTGTTGCATGTTGTTTTCTATCTGTTTATCAATTGACCAGCTATTTTTTGGCGAAGAGAATCTTTTAACTGTCTCTTTTTGATATGAATAATTTTATCATTAAATCCAGAGTACAATCGAAAATAGTACAATCTTGCCCATCGCATGGTTTTTTTAACATTTTGCTTTATAATATTGCTTTGCATTTTTTACATATGGCGTTAAATAGTACAAAATATTTTGCGTTTAGGTTCGGAAAAACCACTGTGTTCTTAAATGTAAAGGCACAAGGAAGTTTTGATTATTCCCATATTTTCGCTGCGAAAATATGTGACCATTCACCGGGTGACCATTTAATTTTAAATATCGTCGATCATTGTATCGTCTTGCGACAGGTTTTATACGGTCCCAATTTTCATCAGAAATAATAAGTTTAAATGCTTTTGTGCCATCTTTAGAACAAAGCTCTATAAAAGAATAACTTTCATCTGATTTATCGAGAAAATCCTCAGTAGTTTTTATTATACCAAATTTTTTTAATACGGAAGAAACTATGGACAGCTGTGGACAGGTGTAATGCGTTCTTATTTTAAAACTGGAACAGAAGTATCAACATCTTCTTCAGTCGAATCACTTTACGCTGAATATAAAATTCGACTT